GTTACATTTCCACCGCTTTCCTGTGCCATTTCTATAAATACTTTCATGGTAACTGTTCTGATTAACTTTCCTCAATACACATTAGGTTTAAATATATAATATATTCCCCATCCTGACATAAATTGTACATAAGAGGACTAGTTATGACTTCATAGAGACTCTGAGGTATTATGGTGACTGTAGTATGTATGGTCAGTAACAATGTGTTGTCTTGATGTAATGAATGACTCGTTCGGCGGAGAGGGCCGTATTCAAGAAACATCGAAAATTGTTTTTTTCACTGCAAATTATTCATTATATCATATCCAGGTAATTTACAAAAAGTTAAAGCCGACTACACAATATTTCAGTCTCACTTTAGGTTTATAGTTCGTAACCATGCAATGAGATGAAGTAACATAAACTGTAGATTTGTCTGCGGAATATCATTACATTATTGTTACATAATTATAATGAAATCATTAAGTTTTTTGTCAAAAGCATTTTAATTTTTTGTCGTATATTAATTTAAAATATTCCTTTTTACAGGCTTTATTTTTTAAATGGAATAAGATGATTCTAAATTTCAGAATTTCGCTATTGCCCATCAAAATGACTGGAAGAAAGCAATCTAAAAATATCAATGGAAAAGAGAGGTAACAAAGCATAAACGAAATAGCTCCAGTTTGTTCAACTTAGGAAACTTAGCATTGCAGCCAAAATATTCTAAAATGCTGCCAATAACAAAGGAACAAATGAAAAATACCCAACAACAAATCGAATATAACATCAAAATTTATATTATTTTATTTATTTGTTATGTAACTAAATACATAACTGTCAACAATATTTTTGTAAAACTTGATATTTCCTGTAAGAAATTCTTAATAAATATTATCATTGTTATTATTTTACTTAAGTGTAAGGTAGTCCTACATTTACAATTCATTATGCCTAACCGTGAAAAGAAATGTTGATCAAAACTGCCTAAAACCTTTAAGCGCGTATTGCCACAAAATTATCAAATGTTGAATACGCCCTTCCGCCACTGAACACGGCGTATATTGTAGTTTGTCTGGGTCAGTGATTGTGGCTAGTTGAAGATAACACACAGTGAAGATCAGTTTTCCCTATTACCCTTTTTGGATTTAAAAAAAAAAAAAAAAAAAAAAAAAAAAAAAAAAAAACTTTACTCAAAAACCAAAACTTTAAAAATTTAAGCACAAGTAAAAGAAAAAAAAAAAAAGGTCTCAAATTTTAAAGTCAATGGCTAATGGATGCAACCTTTGTTATAATGCTGATAGTTTCTTTATGACTTCTCGCCTGTGGAATCAGATTTCCGCTTTATTGTTCTCATCATTTTGATCTTCGAAAAATTTAAATGGAGCATCAATCATTTCGTTGTCTTCTTAATTCTTGTTCTTTCCCACTCTCCTTCTAGTGTGGAACTATATATATATATATATATATATATATATATATATATAAAAAAAAAATGCAACATCAATATAATCGGTGTTCTTATTGATATTTTTTATTTTACAAAAAATAGTGCTCAATGTAAATTTAAGAGCATAAATATTATAAATATTTAAAAATATGGTTTTATATAAGGAAACCATGTTTCAAAAAGAAAGCTAAAACTTCAAATTTAATTATATAATTAAAGTAAAAACAGAACTAATCTTTATAGATATAATTTTAGCTTCGGTTTTTAATTTTACTGGTAACTATGTAAAAAAGCCATATTTAAATTAATTTATATATATATATATAATATATATATAAATTAAATCCATTGTATATAATTAAAATAATATGAAATATTAAAACTGATCCAAAAAGGCTCAATTACCATTGTTACAAAGCAAAAATTAATAAACAATAAAAATCCCAAATCCCTTTAATTATATATTTCGACCGTAAAAACATAATTCATCAGTCTTATTCAATTTATAAGATGATAATTATATTTACTAAATATTTTATTTGAAATTTTTCTCCAGAGAATAATTTGATTTGTTCATTTAACGGCATATCAACCTATTATGGGTCATCTAATGCCGAAATTTTAATTTTCTTGTTTGAAGTCATGAAAATATGTTAGTCTGCTTTCGTAATTGAATACATGGTAGATGATACTTAGCTTTTGTGTATATACATGTTTGTGTGGACATAATTGCTAGGGGCGGTGATATGTATGTTTTATGTTGTAGCTTAGTTGAGGTTATATTTTGAAATACAGTTTGATCTCTTTAAGAAATTGTAGGATATTATATGGACTAATGTTATGAAAGAGTTCTTTCATGTTGGTTGGTTGATTTTGTTTAGTGACATATCAACACCTCTATGGGTTATTTAATGCTGAAATCTAAATATTTTAAACACGATTTTATAACTTTAATTAAATATATTTTGAACGCAATCGTATGCCTTCAACGACGGATAAAATGTTTTGTTATTGTCGGTCATTTTGCTATAAAATGTATTGTTGGTAATTTTGCTAGGAATATTTATTGTGGATACATTTTTTGTGTGTAAAAAAGTATTGCTGGTATTTTTTACTATAAAATGAATTTTTATACTTTCATAGGTTTTTGTTTGGTGGTGTGTTTGCTATTTGCCCAGAGCTGAGACCCTAACAGGTTCTACTACCCCAGGTCAGGTTGGACCTTTAAGTTCTTCGCATATATTTAGCAAAAAGTTACTTTTGGTAATTCTTCACCTAAACGGCTTCTAATAAACTGCTATTCCCTGAACAGCGTAAAAATCAATAAGACAAATCTATATGTGTTTGTTACAATTAAACATTATTACAATGGCTAATGCTGGTCGACACAGCAAATGAATATTGAAAACACGAACTTGTTCTTGTGCTGCGGGATCCACAAAATACTATTGATGAATAACGACGACATAAGGCTTACGACAACACCACGTTGGCGTACGAAGTTAAGCAATGTCGTGTCTGGTCAGTACCTAGATGGGTGACCGCTTGGGAATACCAAGTGCTGTAAGCTTGGGTGTTCGAGTGGTGTAATGGCTCGGAATTGTTAATTGGAGAGCATATTCACATATGCGCAAATAACCTTTCGGAAAGGTATGAATCCACATCTTTTTTCCCCAGCTATGGGTTAATTAGCGAGATTTATAAGTACCTGTCTATATTTCTGAGATGATGTATTATGTACGTTATTTACATTATTCTGACTATTGTCCTCATTTTTGTAGTCATATTTATTACACCGTTTCGGCCGTTGTACGCTCCGGCCTGCTTCAGGTGGTTGGAATGCCTTTATTTCGCTCACTAGGGTAGACTGTTCTAATTCCACGTGTCATGTTTAATGGATGTCAGTTATCAGTTATCTCCTGTTAATTTCCCTCTGAAAGTTATCCACTGCCTTAACCTGGTATTGAACTCACACTCTTTGGGTCCTGTCACTGGATCTAACTAACGCCTTTATCCACTGTGCCATGTGTCCTCGATACCACCGAATACCCAATGATCAGGGCGCCATTGGCCACGGTAATATTTACGATGAAAAAAAAATATTTAAAGATATAAAATGACAGTTTATTTTATGCTGTTTAAATGAAGCAGAACTGAGGCAGATTAATATACGCCGCTTATCTGAAGGATTACCGTACATTTATTCTGAGTCGCCTATTTCGCTATTGAAAAAAGAATTCAGTTCCCCTGAAAGAATAAATAAATCTATAGTTGTTATAAAGCATTTTCTGAAAAGAAGGAATTGTTTCAAGAATGGGACTTCCTCAAAGGAAGAGTCTATAAGCATTTCCTTGGTTTGGTTTCGTTTGGTTTGTTTTACGACATATTAACCTCAGTGGGTTATTTAATGCCCACAAGATTTTTTATTGCTGGTAACTTCTTTTTATCATATGTATTGTTGGTAATTTTTTTTTCTTCAAAAATCTATTTTGCTAATAATTTTTCTTAAAAAATGTATCGCTTGTAAATGTTTTTTTTTTTTCAAAAAAGTATAGCTGATAATTTTTTCTTCGAAAACTTATTGCTGGTAATTTTTTTTTTCTTTTTTTACGAAGTATTTCTGGTATTAAAACCTATTTTTACAATTTTTATTGTGTTTTGACCCCAGTTTGGGGTGTCAACTATTTGCCTATAGCTGGGACCCTAACAGGTGCTACCACCTCGGGTCAGGGTGGACCTAGGAACATCAACAATTAAGAGGTGGTTCAACGCTCTTCAAAACATTTTGATCAGAGGCCTTGCTGTTGGACGTAGTTTATCGTCTTACCCAGGACGCGGATGTAGTTTATCGTCATAATCAGGACGATTGCTTGGTTAGGAGACAGGTAAATATTGGCCATTTTTATTTGAATCTATAAGGATCGGCATAGGTACCTGGAAGCGGTATAATGGTTAATGCTAGGGTTAGTAGTGAGTTCGATCCTCACTGGGTACTCCACACTTTCGAATCTTGTGCTTCAACTAAGCTACGCTTAGAAAATCATTTCGAGGCTGTGTAGCTTGTCTCGATAGAACAATTACAACTGAATTGTAGGTTCGATCCTAACTGGGTGCTCCATACTTTCGGCCGTGTGCCACATCTAAGCTACGCTTAGAAAATCATTTTTGGGGCATCTCGAGACGGTGTAATTGTTAGTAAGCTTGTCTCGATAGAACAATTACGACTGAGGAGAGAGTTTGATCCTCACTGGGTGCCTCATGCCACATCTAAGCTACACTTGGAAAAATTACTATAAGGATCAACATGCGCCAGATGATAGGCGAAAGGCACAGTGGCTGAAACGTTGTCATAACAACAACAAAGATGAGGATAATAGTTCGCATGTAAATAATAGAAATCAGGATAACCCCTCCTCCTCCGAGAAATTCTGGCAGAATCTCTAAAAATCAGTTCTGTCCGTTCTCAAAGCGCTATTTTAAATGATCATTTTGTCAGAAATTTCTTTTCAAAAATAATCGGGTAATGCGGGATAAGATGGTGGCGGGACGGGGGAATTAAGCTTAAGGTCACGTGAAACACCGGTTCTCGCCCGATCGCTGAAGTTAAGCAAAGCTGAGCCTGAACAGTACGTAGTTCGGTAACCGCTTGGGAATACCAGGTACTTTAAGCTTGTATGTACAGGTGGTGTGATGGGTAACGGCTCGGAATGAGAACTCAGAGAGCAGAGTTCAAAATCCAGTAGAGTTCGTTATATATTCACTTCCGCGCAAATATCCAGCTCCCCCTAGTTATGGATTAAATAGCAGGACAGACTGGCAACTCATCTAGCGTATAATGTAACGGTAGGCTACTGCGGTAATTCTAATGCCAAGTCAATCGTGAATCGAAAAGAGACTTGATCGCCCAAGCGTGCATCACGCATATCACCTAGGGAAGGTGGGAGCTGAGAATATGTTGTTCTTTAAAAGATTAATCAACTGGGAGTGTGTATAAACTGGAGAGTATTGTTATTTTATTACTAGTACGACCCAGTCTTATTGTTGCTTTGTATACCAACAAAAGCGAATAAATAATGGACTATTTTGTTTCCATCGCGTGGAAGGATGGAAAAGACATATCAGTGGCACAAAAGTGAGAACATGAAAGTTTGGTTTGGTTTGGTTTACGGCATATCAACCTCGGTGTGGTGTAATGGTTAGTAAGCTTGTTTCGCTAGAACAATTACGATTGAGTAGTGAGTTCGATACTCACTGGGTGCCCCATATTTTCGGTTTTTGTGCCACATCTGAGCTACGCTTGGAAAATCACTATCAACCTCATTGCCGACAAGAATTTTATTGCTGTAATGATTTAAAAAAAAAAAAAAAAAAATGTATTGCTGCTAATATATATTAGGTTGGTGCAAAAATAATGACGTAATAATGTCGTTTTTTGGGCGTATTTTTTAACGTCAAAAAACGACATCATTACGTCATTATTTTTGCACCAACCTAATATTTTCCCCAAAAATCTATTGCTGGCAATATTTTTTCTTCAAAAAATGTATTGCTGGTAATACATTTTTACAAAAATATTTTTCCTTCAAAAATATACTGCTGGTAATTTTTTTTTCAAAAATTTATTGCTGGTAATAAATTTTTACAAAAATGCATTGCTGATATTAAAACCTATTTTTACACTTTCATAGTGTTTTGACCCCAGTTTGGGGGTTAACTATTTGCCCATAGCTGGGACCCTAACAGGTGCTACCAATCCAAAATGTACTGCTGGCAATTTTTTTTTTTTTTTTTTAAGTATTGCTGGCAAGTTTTTCCCCAAAATGTACTGCTGGTAGTATTTTTTAACCAAAATGTATTGCTTGTAGTAATATTTTTTTCCCAAATAAGTATTTCTGGTAATAATTTTTTCATTCAATGATTTTTTTTACAAGAAAGTATTGTTGGTACAGTGAAACCCGGATATAAGAGAAACCCGGATATAAGAGAGATTTTCTCTGGTCCCAAATTAGAGCCTGTGTTAATGTAAACAAAATAGACCAAACCCGGATATAAGAGACTTCTTCTCCGGTCCCGACAACTCTCTTATATCCGGGTTACACTGTATTAAAAACTGTTTTTACACTTTCACCCCAGATTTTTTTTTACAATTTTACCCTAGTTTTTTTTGGGCGGGGTGGGGGTGGGGAGTTTGGACCTGTTAACACTATCAATTAAGAGGTGGTTCCATGCTCCTCAAAATATCCCGATCAGGTGCCTTGATGTTGGATGTCGAGAAAATAGTAAAAGAAAGAAAGATTGAAGTGTTTAAACGTCTCCTGCTAAGGCCTAAAAAGTATTGGGGGGGGGCAGCCATTTAGGATCGAACTCACTCCAAGACAAGCTTGCTATCCATTTACACCACGTCGGGGTGCCCCAGCGTTTTTATGAGGATTATTGAAATCCTTTTCAAAGTTGTTAAGTTCAAATATTTAACGATGTGATAGGGGAATTTCTACGGATATTTTGCTGTCGTAGACGTCACCATGAGCTTATTGAGTCACTAACTTAAGAATTTATCATAAAATTCAAATAGGAAAACCGTTTTACTTTTAACTCTTCACAAGTATATTTAGTGTGTTTAATAGGCTTAACGTCAGAAAGTCGTCGGCAATATTTTAACAGGGCCATAAGGGCGGAGGGGGCCTTGGCTCCCTTAAATTTTACGTTGTAGTATTTATTTATTTATTTTTTACAGGGTTTTTTTTATTTTAAAAAAAATACAATGAAGAAAGAAATAAAAGAAAAAAAATACTATCAAAGCATGGAGGTACTAGAAATTTTAAATGTTCCTGCCTCTAAACATTGTGCCGGCCTTTAATAACTTCAAATTCTAAATTTCTTTTGTCCACCCCTCACAAAAAAAAGAAAGAAAAGGAAACATTTGTCTATGTCACGGTACTGTTTAAAAGAAATCGCGAATATGAGTTGCTCTGAAAACTTTACGCACAAGCCAGTCTCGTACGAATTCTCGTGTCGGGCCACTGCTAGCGAGCAAGTAGCAGTAACTTTAGTCTCAATACAATAGTCAACTCCACTCTTCTACTTAAGAAATTCTTCAGCTTTTGTACTTTCGGGTCCAACACAGAAAGCTTACTAGTAAAACGTGTGCCCTGATTTTTATGTAGGTCAGCAGAACATAAAAACATTTCTGCTTCGGGTTTGACAGTGAAGCAATGAGAAGTGAAAATCGGTCGACGATCGCTATTGGCACGGATAGCAACTGCGACAATGACGAGCTGGTTTTATTTTTATTTATTTTACTAGCATAGACTTCTTTCATATACCGTGTCTATTCCGAACGTAGACGATCATGGCTCTCCACAACTCCCAGTCTTTTCTTGCTGCAAATAAACTTGTAACCATTTATTTTATCTGCACCACATCTTCGCATTTGTTATATCTCCCTTTCACTCAAGAAACTCATTAAAATTAAATTCTCTTGCCTTTTCTATGGCCCTGTGAATGTTAAATTCTCCAAGCCGTCTTTTCTCATTATACGATATGAAAATTTCAATGCTTTTTCCGATTGTAAGCATGATTCCCTGGCCTGGCTTAAGTTTCTTCCGATGTAAGTTATAGGTCATACTAAAAAAAAAAAAAAAAAAAAAAATTGCTTCACCCATTACCAAAGGGGTAAAGGAGTGAGAAAACCCAAGAAAGCAAGTTTATGTATTTATATCTTTCTTTCGTCTCCATCCCCCCTCTTTTCGTTCATCAGCATTTCTTTCTTTTTTTATTTATTTTTTTAAACTTGCCGTCGACTGTCATAAGAACTCTACATTTGTCTCCTAAGTATCGACAGGCTATTGATGTACGTTGAATGACAGAAAATCTCTTGCTCTTCAGTGAACATGAGCCTCAGCGAGTCCAGATGAAATTCCGGCTAATGCCATCCCGTTCCCTTTCGTACTAATGCCTTTGGAGAAAGGTAGGAATTCATCTTTTCTCCTACCAGCTAGTGTCTAAAAACCTGTAGTTCCCAGACGATTTTGGACCATGTTCTACTTTGGTATTTCTAAAATTTTGGTGAAATAGCAATATTTAATTTTTACATATTCAAAATTTTACTGTAATTCACGTGAAGGAAACCAACTGAATGCTCACACGCGCTGATTGGCCGACAAAACCTGGGCTCTTCCAGCGACATGCATCACACCCTCTTTGCTGAACGAGACACGCGAATGCGGAGAGACGGGAAATATCTGTATGCAAATTACACGTGTACGCACATACACACAAAATATTTAATACTACCTGTGCATCGTATGTATTAAGACGCATTAACATTAACACTCTCACTCAGACTGACTAGAAAACAATTCACTTGCTAATAACTTATTCTCGAATTGCCCCCTTATTCTGTTGGTATAGAAAACCGGGGAGGCTCAGTGGAGTAATGGATAGCGGCTCGGGTTGAAGAATCGAGGAGCCGAGTTCGAATTCCAGTCGAATCCGTTACATTCACTTACGTGCTAATACCCTTGGGAAAGGTATTAATCCTCTTCTTCTTCCATCAGCTATCGGTAAATAGCAAGACAGACCGGGTTCTATCTGCAACTACCACAGAAAGAAATGGCAACCTACTGCGGGGAAAAAATCTGCCTCGTCAGTCATGTATCTTTCGATACATGATCGCGTAAGCGTGTATCACGCATGGCACATAACTGAAGGGCGCACAACCTATGCATGCCCCACCCAAATGTTATCGTGTCCCATGTTGTGAATTTTTGGTCTAAACAGTAAGACAACCGGTCATCGGCAACCAATCGAGGAGAAAGTAAACTATGAATTCCCAAATCCGCGTCAATAGAAAACTTGTTAGCGATGGTAGTACTCGTGTAAAAAGTAAACAGCCATCATGTGCGCATATACAGGGTGCGATTGGGCACCTCACAGTGGTTTAATGGTTAGAAGGCTTGTCTCACTAAAACAATTACGACTAATTAGTGAGTTCTCTCCTCACTGGGTGCCCCATACTTTCGGCCTTGTGCCACATCTGAGCTACGATTGGAAAATCACTATAAAGGGTGCGATGGATAAATTGTCGGCGAAATGGCGCAAAAATGAAAACAACACTGACATCTCATTTTAACAGACATATTTACCAACATTGCACAAAAATATCTTGAATTACTAAAGAGTCAATTTATTCAATAAAAAATCACCATTGGCTTCAACCACAACCTCCAGACGACTTCAGAATCTCCTGCAACTCTTCTGGACGGTCTCCTTGTTTAGGTTGGTGAATGCTACCATAACCCTTCATCTTTGGTGTCACAAGGAGTTTTATTTCCATAGACTGCGGACTGGAGAGATGTAAGGGATCACGTGGTCCCAGAAATTGTCTGACAGCCATGACTGGGTTCTCCTGCTTGTGTGGCATGGTGCAGAGTTCTTTTGCCAGACATAGGGTCTTCCAGCGGTCACCCTCTTGAACCACTGAAGCATTACCTCCTCAAGACACTTGATGTAGGATTACGTGTTGAGAATGAGGCCTTGTGGAAAGATAAATGAAGACATAATTTCGCCATCACTAGTGATCCCTCCAAACACCTTCGTAATCTTTGCACTGTCCTCAGATTGACATCCAAACATTCTTGTGTCACCGAAAGACATGCAGAAAAA